GTTTGGCTCAGTGGATAGAGCATCAGCCTGTGGACTGAAGGGGCCCGGGTTCGATTCTGGTCAAGGGCATGTACCTTGGTTGTGGGCACATCCCCAATGGGGAGAGAGGGGGTGCAGGAGGCAGCTGATGGATGATTCTCTCTCATCGATGTTTCTGACTCTATCCCTCTCTCTTCCTCTCTGTGAAAAAATCAATAAAATATATTTAAAAAAATAAAAGGGAAAAAATGAACCTTTTTATCATTGAATACCTTTTAGGTCCTCAGCACCACACCTTTTCCCAGGGGTGGAAGGGTGGGTACCAAGGAAGCATAAGCCAATGCTCCCTGACTTGGACTCCTCCATGGACCTTGCAGAGCAGAATGACCTGGAGCTGACCAGTTCATTCTGGGGTCTTAGAAAGTAGTTGGAAGAGTTGAGAGAACAGGCTCTAAGCTGAGCCTCCAGTCTGTTGGAGAAGCAGCAGCTACTGTGTGCAGGAGGACGGAGCTGCTGCTGTCTTCTGGCAAGCTTGGCCCTTTGACAATTGGGAGTCATTTCCTTATGTATGAGAAAGAGATCACTGCTGTGGCACCCACCTGTGTGTGTGTGGCCTGATTTTTTGAGCTGCTGCCCTGGGGCTCATTCAGGGACAAGAGCATCAGTGGAAATCGTCTGCTAAGTCAGGTGCCAGAGCAGACTTAAACGGTGGCATCTTTTCAGCTGGCAACTAGCAGGCAGAGCTTTGAATCATCTTCATAATTTGAAAATTGATCTCTTTGCATTGGGTGGTTTATTTTGTGCTTCCAAAAGCCATCAGGGACATAATACCGCTTGCCTTTCCTCCTTGGCACTGCTCTGGATTAAAAAACGTTGAGCCTGAGATGGGGATTTTTCATTCCCAGGATTCTTGTAGAATTGTGCCCCTTGTTGTGGTGGACCTGGTGGTACTCATAGAGCCTCCAGTCTCAGGGGCGGGGAAATTGCTTGGAGAAGGGGAGGCCAAGCTGGGCCTTGGAGGATAGCCCTAGTGGAGGAGCCTCAAGGGGCCACGCCTGCCTCACCTGTGTGTGGCTTTGTGTGGCAGTGTCCTTAGTCATGTCACAGCGCTACAGCAATGTTCAGAGCTGCCAGGACCAAAATACTGAAGGCTGTTTTCTTGTCTTCCAGCTGGGGAGAGGTTGAAATTCCATTTTTCCCCACGGGCTTATTCTTAAGTGCTTTCTCCAGATGGTGTGCTCCAGAGAGGTCCTTGTGCCCTGGGAACGGTTCACAATGTGAATGAGGTCACCCATGGTGAGGGCTGGCTCACAAGGCAGCCTACCAAGGCATGGCTTTCAGAACCCCTCTTGGTTCTCTGGAGCCACGACCATTTAGCCGTGGTCAGCACACTCCACACACAGCCTTTCCAAGGCTATGGATATGCTCTCGCACTGGTGCTTCCTGACTTCTTTGCAAGCATTGTCCAAATACTCCTTGGTTTTTGGGAATGGCAAGTGGTGTGAGAGGGTGATTAACAAATGCTTGGGGGTGAGTACAAATATTAGAGTGTGAAGACAGTAGGAAGGTGTGAAGTGTTGAGGGCTGGTGTGAGGAGAGAATTGAGGTCTGGGAAGAATGATGGTTGAGACATGGCTGCTTTTACTTAGGTGACAGGAGAGAAGTCAGTCCAGGAATAAAATAATCTATTAAGCATTGTCAATGCCAAACTGAGAAGGAAGGAAAAACAATATATCTCAGATTGAACGGGGACAGAGTTGCAGCCCAGTTTGGTGAACCCAGTAAAACAAGAGATGAGGTTGGCTCAATCACTCCAATGCAGCAAATAGGAACAGGGACACCTTCCACTTTCATTCACCCCAAAATTCCCAGGGGTTTTTTTTTATTGGGCTGTTCATGTGGTGGATGCTGTTCTGTGAAGATCATGTAAACATAAAGAATGTTCCTGAAGAGGGATCAGAAATTCAACCTCTTTAACCTCAAGGCCCATAAGCCAGTAGGAGGTATGTGCTTTGTTTGTGGCCACATATGTGAGCACGCATGTGGTTATGCATGTGGACTGTGTATGAGATCCGAGGAGGTGGAGGATAGTCTAGTATTTAGCTGTGAGTCCTGTGTGTGCTGCAGAAATCTTCCATTGTCTCACTTTGTGACCTTTAATGAGTCATACGCTCCTTTGTTTTCTTATGTGTTCAATGGAAACACTTGTTGGTTGTTAAAGCAGTTCTTGTGCTCCAGGTGCCTCTATTAATTACAATTCTCTTTTCTAATTTTTTCCTCTGGGATCTTATAAGAAAGGAAGAGGCACAGCCTTATTGGGGTCTTCCTAGCTTTATACTTAAGCTCGAGGTGAGTGCAGGGAGGTATGTGAGAGACAAGCCTTCAAGGAAGTGTTGGGTTCTCTGTGATTCTGGCATTCTGGTTAACATACTTTACCCTCTAGGGTGTGGCAGCTGCCTGGAGCAGCTGGAGCAGAGGAAAAGCAGAGGGTGAAGGGAATATACTGTGCAAAGGGAGTCATTGTCATGTTGAGAATATAGCCATGGATTGGGTATAGCAGAGGCAATTTTCCAGTCCTTAGGGGTTGGGAGTGGGGTTCTAATGCTACAGGGACCAGATGCAATGGTACAGGAGATAATTGTTAGGACAAGAATTAAGTAGACCAGCTGGCACTAAAGAAGACTTGATGTGCTCATCTTGGTATCATACAGGGTGGCATCTGCAATACCATTCTCTACCCTTGGTGCCCTGCAGACATCACTGATTTATCATGATACACTCTCCTGTTGTGCTCAGAAAAGTCTCAGAATCCTTTAGGTACAGCATTTTGGACAGTGATTGGCATCAGAGTGGAAACTTACTGTCTGTCACTGGTGTGATGATGGAAAGGACGTAGACTTTGGAATCTGGCACTGAGCACGCATATTAGGTCTTTTTTGGTTGTCAGGAACAGAAACGCAATTCAAATTAGCTAATCTAAGTTACTTAAGTACTAAAATCAGAAAGCTCAGGGTAAGGCTAGCATTGGGCTGGGTGCAGGAGCTCAATGAGGCTGTTGGAGTCTGTCTCTAGAATAGACGTTCTCATTGGCTGAGCTGGGCCATGTGCTCATCTCTGAACTGGTCCCTGTGGACAGGGCTGGTGGTAGGGATGATAGGGTCCCGACAGCAGGTCACACTGGAAGCAAAATTATCTTAAAGACAAATGTTGATAAATCAGCCCCTGATAAGAGCTGGGGAGAGGTGATTGGCAAAGCACCAAGTTTTCATTGGAATCCTGGTGAGTTGTAGTGAGGAGAGGTAAGGGTAACTATTTCTGGACTCAGAAGTTTCCCTGGAAGGACCTTATGTGCACTGAGCAGTTGGGGAGGTCATGATGGGGGGTACTGGAAATGATGTATGTGCAACTGGTCTGCCTGCTCCAGCCCCAGTCTTCCAGGCAGCTGACATGGCATCTGGATGCCCGGCTCTCTGCTCACAGTAGCACCCCATTCCCTTGATCCAGATGCACCTACCCAATTGACCGATCTCAAGGTCATGTTTCTGTTCTAGGGCATTCAGGTTTGGGCCCAGGCCGAGCTGATTACTTGGCAAACCTTGGAGGGTTCTGGGGGAGGCATCAGGCTGACCAGAATATGTGTGTCTTAGGGACAGTCTTGAAGGCTCCAGAGCACTGCACATGTCCCTACTCTGGACTTCACTGGTTCCTACTCAGGCGTCCTTCCTGCAGTGCCCTTCTACCCCACCTGCCAACCTGTCACAGGAAGGGCGGGCTGGGTGGTTCTGGCTTGGGGTCTCTCATGTAGTTGCAGTCAGATGGTGACCAGAGCAGCTGGAGGCTGGCTGGGAATCTGTCCCTCTGCATTCAGTCTCTATGTAGGGCTGGTGAGCTTCCTCACAGCACCCAGGCTACCTGGTAGGGGTTTGGCTTCCCCGAGGGCTAGTACCCAGAGAGAGTCAGGTGGATGCAATGTTATCGTCACTTCTGTTGTACTTTATTGGTCAAAACAATCACCAAAAGCCAACCCCATTTCAAGAGAAGGGTGTATATGGATCCTGTTTCTCAATGGGAGGCAGATGTCACAGGATTGGCTGATATGATTTAAAACCATCACAGTCCTCTACTCCCTCCTATTAAACCAGCTCTCAATGTCCTGAGGGTTTTAAGGTACCTGGATGTAACCTTACTTTAGTCCGACCCCCTAATTTTGTTATATATATGTTTTGGTGCTCAGGTGCAGAGATTTGAATCATACTCTTCAATTCTTTGGGCATTTGTCATTGATCCATGCAGTAGCTCTCTTATTCATTTCATTTGTTCATTTTTCTTTTTATCTTCATATCCTACTCCCATTTTCCTCCACACCTTCCTTAAACAATCATCTGTTCTCTTTAATGAATATCATTTTATATATTCTTTTTAAAAAATATTTTATTGATTTTTTTACAGAGAGAAAGAGAGAGGGATATAAAGTTAAAACATCAATGAGAGAGAAACATTGACCAGCTGCCTCCTGCACACCTCCTACTGGGGATGTGCCCAGAACCAAGGTACATGCCCTTGACCGAAATCGAACCAGGGACCCTTCAGTCCGCAGACCGATGCCCTATCCACTGAGCCAAACTGGTTTCAGCTATATATTCTTATATAAATGTATTTTAACTTAAATATATTACATTGTATATTTACCTTTCCTGTATCCTGCCTTTCACACTGTCTCTGAGATCTATACATGTTATAATACACATCTTATTCTTATTTCATGTCTGTTAAAATGAGCCAATAGGACTAGAGAAGGGGAATGACAAACAGAAGGTCACACAGCTGAATCAGGACTAGAACAGATTTCTGGACTCTCTTTTCTCAGCATCACACACTTGTGTTTCCATGTGCCCCTTCCAAAGTGCAATAGTTTGAAATAAGGTTTCTAGGTAATTGTGAATCTGGGATCCAAAGAGTATCACAAGCTCTATCTTTGTCTCCCTGGTGTGACTGTTGTCCTCTGTACTCTTCTCCTGCAGGTTCCAACTATGGGAGCCCACGCCCAGCTCATGCCAACATGAATGCCAACGCAGCGGCAGGGCTTGCCCCCGAGCACATCCCCACTCCAGGGGCAGCCCTGTCCTGGCAGGCGGCCATTGATGCGGCCCGGCAGGCTAAGTTGATGGGAAGTGCTGGCAACGCGACCATCTCCACAGTCAGCTCCACCCAGCGGAAGCGGCAGCAGTACGGAAAACCCAAGAAGCAGGGCAGCACCACTGCCACACGCCCACCTCGCGCCCTGCTCTGCCTGACTCTGAAGAACCCCATCCGGAGGGCATGCATCAGCATTGTCGAATGGAAATATCCTTTGTGCCCTGATCTGGGCAGAGTGTGTGCCCCAGTAGGGCCAGCCCCCCAACACGTACCAGCCAGTGGGCTGTGTTGTCCCTGCTGAGCTCGTGTTATCCGACCTGCTGCATCTGCTGGGGTGCTGTAAAACGCAGAGTTCCAGGTGCAGCTCCAGACTTGATGAATCACAATCTTCAGGGATAGGACTTGGAATCTGCTTGTATAAAAAGCTCCCCAGGTGTTTGTTTCTCTGTGTGTGTTTTCATATAATAAGCAACATTTGAGAAAATGAGCTCATCTTACCTAGCTGAGCTTGCCAGAGACCCGCGTGTTGGGTTAAGTGGTTTCATGCTGCTACTGCATAGCCTTCTTTTCCTACCATGTCATGACTCTGGCATACTTTCATGACCTCCCTCTCTCTAGGGTGAAGGAGCCTAGGAAATGCAAGATGGTGGTGGTCAGTGTCTGCAGCTAGTGTCAAGGCATAGGACAGTGATTCTTAACCTTGGCTGCACGTTAGCATTACCTGGAAAGTTGTAACAAAATACAGGTGCCCGAGCTCCAACCAGCATATTTTTTAAATTCTCCAAGTGATTCTAATGTGTAAAGAGGAGATTCTGGCCTGCAGTGTTAAACACAGAACCACTCTGTATAGAAACTAGTGACTGGGTATTTGAGAGAAAATGGCTTTCTTTGAAAGCCTGAGCTCTAACTGTGCAATTTACAGGCCCCTTGGCATCATGGGAATTGTGGGTAGAGACAGAAAGGACAGTAGGTCCACTCCTGACTTTCCCTAGTGATGGCATTGAGCCCCACAAAAGTGACTCTTAGGGTCATATGGTTGGTGACAGACAGGACTAGAACCTGGTATTATTGTTGGGCATTTTTATAGTAAGTCATTCAGGCCTGGCTACCATGGTTCCAAAGGTTCATGATGGGAGTGTTAGATTTCATTCATGAATTTCTAGGGAAAAATTTAAAAGTCTTGGGTAGTAGTTAAAAGGCCAAAGAAGATGACTCGGGGAGAGAAGAAAGTTTGTGTTTAGGAAGAAATGTTAGTTCTATAAATGTTTGAACCCCTGAACTCAAAAGTAACTTTAAGAGAATGCAGTTCAAGCCAAGTGGCTGCTCCAGAGCTAGCCAGTCTGTGGTTCTGGTTCTCAGATGACTGGGCAGAAGGCTCGGCTTTGTTGGCCCCATTAGGCCATTGTCAAAGCTGCTCTCTCAGAATTGTGGAGTTGGAGGGCAGGGGGCCCTAAATGCTGGGGTTCTTGGGGGAGAGGGAGCACTGGGGCCTGGAGAAGCTGCAGAACTTTCCCAGACCGCATAGTTAGCAACTGACAGTGGGGTTTCAAACCCAGGCTCCACAATTCCCAAATCCATGCATTTCCTACAGCCACACCCCCAAAGCACAGATGTTCAGGGGACACCATCCAGTCCCCCTGGGACACAGTGGGATCTGGATCTGGGGCCTGAACACTCATCCCATTGTGGCCTTGCCACCTGATTCCCCCGAGCTTCAGTTTCCTCATCTCTAATGCAATAACCATAGTTGCCTCCCAAAGATTAGCAAGAGCCGTAGAATCTGTGCATCTGGGAGCACCTCAAAAATCTACCTTCGGAGACATTTCAGTGAGTGCTAGTTAACCTCCTGGATTGGATGGGTCCCTGGTGCTGGTGACATATAAAGCCTAGAAAGAAGGGGAGAGAGGAAAGATGAGAGTAATATACAGGATAGGTCGGGGAAGAGTGGTCAGGTCCAGTATGCCAACTTGGGCCTCAGCTACCTCATTGCACTGCTCCCCACAAACTTGGGCAGAGGGGTGCTGCAGTCACTCTCCAAGGGAATGTTTCCTCCATCCACAGGAGAGGAAGTAGACCCAGCCTTGGCATGTGTGTTGGTGGCATTCTCAGATTGTCTTTGAAAGGTAGCTGATGTGTAAGGAGATGGTCTGGCATACTAGCCAGTCAGTGCTTTGAAAGAGTGGAATTTGACCCTGTCATTAAGAAGAGAAGGCAGTTTAAAAAATGATCTGGTTGTCTCGGGTCACTGAACACTTCCTGGGCTTACCTGGTTTTTCACAGCTAATGGCTTTTCTTATCCGCCTGATTGATTTTTTCACTCATAATCTTCCCCAGCTGTAGCCAGTACTTTTAGCATAAGATGATGGATGGATAACTGGATAGGCAAAAACAAAACAAAAAAAACAAAACAAAAAAAACCCCCAAACCCCATCCCCCAAAACAAACAAACAAACAAAAAAAAAAACACCCAACGGTAGCCCTCCTCCACTCTGGGACCAAGCTGACTGTTTGAGGACTGGATCTGTGAGGTCAGGCCTAGTTGTTAATGTGCCCTTGTCCTGGGGGCAGTGAGGGAGCACAGAGGATTAGATGATGGGAACCAAACTGACCAGCCTTTGGGCTGAATGTCACTCTCCTAAGCAGGTGGGGGAAGGCTCAGAGGAAACAGGAGTGTGTAAGAGGGCTGAAAGAACTAACTTCCCTAAATGCTCCAGGGTAACTTCAGGATAGATCAGTGTAGAGTTGTTCTTACACACCCAGACCCTGGAGCTGGGCTTCCTGGGTTTGAAGCCCATCCTTCCACCATCTCTGTAACCTTGGACAAGTTAACCTTTAACCTTTCACTTAGAAATGGGGATGATAATTGTGCATTCCACTCAGGAAATTTATGTAGAGCAGTTAGAACAGTGCCTGGTACAGAGTAAGTTCCCAATAAATGTTAGCTATGTCCTCCCTGTTGCCATCACCATTGTCCTCATTAACATCACCATCATCATCATTGTTCCTTGGCCAACCCAAGGAGCAGCAGGCGTGTTGGAAAAGATGAGTCAGTAAGTCTGGTTCTGATCTTGGCTCTGGTAGTATTTCCCAGCTTGGGGTCTGGGAGAGGTGGTTTTATTTTCTCTGTCAAGTGGGGAGGTTGGAGAGGCCCAGTGCATGCTTTATTTTTTATATCAAGGTACAGAAAATGACAACTTTATGAAGTATGTTTGGTAAATGCACCCCCTGTTGCACCCATATGGCCCAGGGGGGATCAATAACCAGCACACAGCTGGGAAGCCTGGACTAGATAGTCACTAAGATCCCTTCCCAACTCGGGGTCACCTGTTAAAGAAGTTAGAGGCCATCTATGGCAGGGGAAGGAATGCTGGACTCAGAGGGCAGGGAGTCGGGTTTTAGTCCTGGCTGGTCAGGACCTGCTGTGGGGTCACCCTTGGGAAAGTTTCTTAGGCTCTCTGGTCCTCAGAATTTTGGACCAGCTGATTTTTAAGTCTTTTCCTGCTTCAAGATATGTTAACTTGATGAATACAGGTTTCATGTCCTGGGAGATGAAGATGAAGCAGGAATTCTCATCCTCTCCTTCCTTCCTCAGACTCCATAGACTAGGCTAAAAACTTGGCAGTGTCAGGGGGTGGGGGAGGTGAGGCTGGAAAAGTATAAACTAGGAGCTTCCTCTGAAGCCTCCCCCTTTGGCCATTCCTTGTGAGTGCAGGGCGGAGGGGTAGTTTCACTGGAGCTCATTTTTCTCCCGAGGTTGTGTCCTGGGCTGATATTTAGATAAATAAATCCAGGCACAGGATCCCTGAGTGCACTGCTGCTGGTGCGTGGGTCTTGGCTTGTCCTGCTGGATCCCAGCACATCCCAGGGGAAGGGGGAGAGGACCTGGGACGGAAGCCTTATCCCTGGAAGCCAGCCCTGCTGCCTGGGGAGGCTTAGGGGTTCTACATGGAGCTGTGTTTTAAAGAAAAGGCAGTTCCCACCCTGGAAGCACAGTCCACGTGCTTCCATGCTCTTGGGGGTCCTGAGGCCTGGTCATCTTCAGGTTATCTGGAAGTTGTCAGAGAATAGGGGAGAAGAAGAAGAAGAAAAAAGCTTTCTGAACTTCAAATTAAAAGGAGTAAAAATAAAATCTCCAAATTTCAAATGAAAAATCTTAAAGTCTAGTGTCTGCCTTCAGTCCCACTCTGTCCGCCTTTCCCTTCCCAAGCTTGAGTCCCTGGGTGGCAGCATGAAACCACAAGGGGAGGGGTCCCGGGATCACAGGTCCTGGCTGGAGAGGCCCTGCTCTGTAACAGCAATCTGAGCGCACATGAGGGAAAATGAAGGCCGATGCAATCTAAATAAATAAAAGAAGGAGAAAAAGTTTTTAGAAATCTGTGTTTACTCTGGCACGCGACAGGCCTCCACTGCTTTTGACATATTAGGAAGAATTTTGGCGGGGACCCATTGGAAGTACTTAAAAAGGCATATGTTTCTTTTCAGAATACAAGGGGCTTGGAATGTATTGTTTAAACAAAATTCTTATGAATCTTTGATTCATTTAAGAATATATATATATACGTATGTATGTTTGTTTCACTTGTGCTTTCTGTAACATTAACTTCCTTAACTCCCTTCCTCAGACCATTTGAAATAATTATTTTACTGACTATTTTTGCCAATTGTGTGGCCTTAGCGATCTATATTCCCTTTCCAGAAGATGACTCCAACGCCACCAATTCCAACCTGGTAAGTCCACCATTCTGATTCCATGCTTCTCTTCCTTGGCGGAGGAGCGACTTGATCACGCGGCTTCAGGTTGGAATGTGGGAGAGCAGGGAAGCACGCGGGAGACGGGCTTGTACTGTGTACACAGTGCTCAGGTCTCGTGGCTGTTCTGTTCTTTATTGGAAGCAGCACTTGTCTTATCATAGCCTGCTTTTAGAAAGGATATTCCAACTAGGTGATAGTGCGGTTTGTGTGTGTGTGTGTGTGTGTGTGTGTGTGTGTGTGTAATCTCTGCCTGCTGCCACATGCAGCATGCATTACAGGGCAGGTGTTTGTGGAGTGAACTTTTATTCTCTGGTCATTTGTTGTATTATATTTAGGTGCCTCTGTTCATTGGTAGGACTTGGTCAGGTGGTCTGTAGTATCGCATGGTAAATAATTTCTAGGAAGCTTTTAGGGAAGTTTGCTTTTGCAGCCAAGATATATTATTTAGTTAAAAGGGTTTTATTTTCTTGGGGAAAGGCAGCTTTCCATTTGGACTGTTGAGAGGCCAGTGCTGGAGGTTTGGGGTTAGGATTTGTCCGTGGAAAAAGCATGGGGAGTGTTTACTTTTGGCTGAGCATGAAGTCATTACAGAGGCCTTTGCTCCATCTGGGCATGGGAGGAAAGGAGCTCTGGAATGCGGCTGGCAAAACGGGGGCACATGAGGATGCCTCTGCGACAGGCATGCAGGAAAGTCCTGTCCTCCTTCCCGGGCAAAGACGCCTCATGTCTGTAATCCCCATCTTCCCATGTCACCAGCATCTTCCCTTGATGAGTGAGAATGGACTGTCCTATGCGGTCGTTTCTAACAGAAGCTGTGGGGTTACAAGGTTCTCCTTTCCATTGTTGCTAGTGCTGATGACATCATCAGTATAATTCTTTTGCTTTTTAACCTTTGACATTTTCTTTAGCCCTTCAGCAAATAAATCTGATGTACACTTTAAACTTCTCTGCCGTTCCCTGGTTTTAGGGTGAGCCCCCACTCCGTAGTGGGCAAGGTGTTTGCAGTGAGCCAGGCTTTGTGCGTATGGCTTGGCTGGGGGCTATGCTGGTTCCACAGCAGGCCAGCGAGCACTGAGTGATGACACGGCCGGAGTCAGCAGACAGAGCATTACCTGCAGTCCACACAGCCTTCTGAGGTGTGACCTTTCTCTTAACAGTTGAGAAATCATTACTGTGTCAAAATAAATATAAGCAAAGCATCTCCCAAATGCCCCCTGGAAAGGCAGGCACTGATTCCATTCATGGTAAGACTTCTTTTCTGTGTGCACAAGCCCTCCCCTGCCATGGTCCTCCAAAAACCCTGTAGCTGAGCGCATATCCTGCAACTTAAAAAAAAAGAATCCGTGTGCTGTTCTGAAACAAGTGAAATTCTGAGTCTTCTCTAGGCTAAAGTAAGTAGAGGAGTGTGGTTTTGTCTCAGGCTCCAGAGATGACCCCATAGCAGCCTGCACCACAGAATTCACTGGCGGATCAGCAGGGTCACCAGGGGAGCTGCACTAGAGGGGAGCCAGGGCTGGCAGATCCATGAACTCCCTGCCTCCGGAGCAGAGGGGCCAGCTGGAGAGCCAAGGTCATGATGGATTACTCGAGCTAGAATGAGGTTGCCAGGTACGGAGAATGCTGGAGGGACCACGGTTTTTAAAATCACATCCCGGAGTGATGGAAGTGCTCTAAAACTAGATGGTTGCACAACTGTGTAACATGTAACTAAAGCAGGGAAAGAAATGTGACTAAAAATCATTGACTTGTGTATTTACCAAGGGTGAATTTTATGATATATAAGTTACACCTCGATAAAGCTGTTTGTTTTTAAAGAATAACACCAGCATGCAAACCCAAGCTTCTCAAGGCCTCCCCGTAGTAGGCTCTCTATTCCTCTATTTCTTCCAAATGAAGGGTTAGAAGGTGGAGGCAGCCAGTGAACTTTGTCAGTCACGTTGCACTAGGAATTGGGGATACAGAAGACAGTGTGTGGGATTAAAAAGGGGCTTCTAATTACCAAGGCAATTCCTACCTCTTTCAAACTATGGGTTAGGCAGTGATTTACTAAATTAAGGAAGTATGCTCAGGTTACCTCCTTCTGAAACACACACACACACACACACACACACACACACACACACACTCTGCCCTAATTCTGCCAGCTCTATCCTTGAACTTCCTTTGATGGAAATGTATACAAATTAAAAACATTATTTTTTGAGGAAGAGGCTGCATTTGCTATCCCTGCCAGTTCAATTTTGCTCTCTCCTCAGCTTCTTGCTCACTGTCTTCCATTCCATCTCTGAAATGTAATAGAGATGGGTCTCAGTTGGCAAACTCAGCAGGGAAAGAAATGTAACTTTTCCTGTAACTGAACATTATGTCTGATTTGGGACTTCAGGTGGCCCGGTGGCATAAACCTCATCTCTGTAATGCAGGGCTCTCGGGCCCTTCCCTGGAGTCATAGCTTAGTCCTAAGAACAGCTCTAGGCCCCTGCAGCAGGGCTCTTGACACAGTCAATCCACACTGTTAGAATGGCCTTGTCCCTTCATGGTCTTTGATCCATGTAGGCAATGTGGTCTCTTGTTCCCCAGCATGGTGCCTCTCCAGTTCTCAATCTCTCTGTCGCTTCTGAGATTGTGGGACGGGAGATGGGGAAGATTTCAAGTGCCCTTTTGCAAAGACACACTCAGGGTCTCATTCATTTTTGGTTTCCTTACTGATACTTCACTGTTTGCCATCTCGGGACCTTAGTTTGGGACAGAGTCGCCCAATAGGTCTCTTCCAGACTGTCATCAATGCCCTGCCCTATACTCAAATTTCAGTCACATTCTCACTCCTGTTCTCTACTTTTCCACTGTGTCATACCTTCCCTGTGGCAGTGAAGGCCACTGACTAGATTGGGGGCCACAGGGTCAAAGGAGTATTAGAACCTCCTGAAATAACCAAGCAATATCCACATCAGCTTATAGATTGGGATATTATTCTGCTCCACGGACATAATCAACACCAGTTGAACTGGCAAGGATAGCAAATGCAGCCTTGCACTTTCTCCTTCTCTCCACAGCATCTTAGATTATCAAAAGTTTCTTTGCAAAATTCTTTTATTGCTCAGCTTCAGTACATAGTTAATATTAAGTCTTCTTCTGTCACTCTTACAATTTTTTTCTGTTTCTCATAGTTTCTTTCATGCTTCTACAGGAACTTCTACAAGGGTTCTCTCTGGGCCATTATTTTCTCTTTCTATACTCTGCCCTTATGAACTCAGCTACTTTCACAATTTTATAGTCTCTTTCTAGGTAAGTTGTTTCTGGACTTAGGTCTCCAACTCCAAGGGCTCCCAAAAGGCCTGGACCAGTATTTTCTAGAGCAGAGGGGCCTGGGGACCAGTACAGTGATGCCTGGCCACCTTGGTTATTATAACACCTGGAGAGCTTGAACCATGTGGACTCCTATGCTTTAGTAGCTCTGATTCAAATTTAGTAGTTCCAGGACATGGCCTAGGAATCATCTTTTTAAAAATTCCTCATTGGTGGTGGTGGGTGTGGGTGTGAGTGGGATGCTAATGATCAGTCAGGTTTGAGAGCTACTGGTCTCTTGGAGAGAGCAGAATTTGAGTTTAGCAAATCTCTGTCCAAATCTTATTTTCTCTACTTTGTAACTGAATCTTAATCTGAAGTTCTCTAGTCTTTCTTGACCTCAGTTCCCCAGCCTGTTAAATGGAGGGGTCATTTCTTCACAAGGTTCTGGGGAAGAGGAGAAGGCAGACAGTGATCATAAGTACCCAGTTGTAAGTGCCAGGATGTCTTGCAAACATCCATGCCAAGAGTCAGGATGATGTTTGGGAGACTTAAAGAGACAGACCTCGTGTCTAACAGGGAAGATAAATATGGTCATATAAGGGTTCCAAATGTTGGGGAGACATTTTTTGCTCTTGGGAAGGGAATAAGAGAAGACTTCACATGGGAAAATAATTTGAATTGCATCTTGCAAGAAGAGGTGATTTCCAGACCAAAAGAGGCTGAGGTATGCCCATGTGCAGAGGTCTAGTTATTGTGGCCTTTATGACCAAAGGATGGGGTACCAGTTTCCAGTGAATGAAAAGAGCCAGATGATGGCCCATCCCAACAGTCAAACCTAATTGTAGGTAATGAGGAAACCCTAGGGATTTTCAGAGCTGGGGAGTGCTGGGTCCAGGGGTATATTTTAGAAAGGGTGCTCTTGGGGCTCCAGGAAGGTGGCCCAGAGGGAGGCCTCACTGTTTGTGATGAGAAAAGGAAACTGCAGAAGTCCAGACAGTAGTGACAACATGGTGAAGAGGGAGTGGTGGATTTAAGAGGTAAACTTGCCAGGACTTGTGACCAGTTGGATGTTGTGGAACAAAGGGAGAGCTGACTTCCAGGATGGTGATGTGAGTAACTAGGTGCTGTTAGCCAAGAGAATGTCTTCAGGTGAAAGGTCACAGTTGAGGGGAAGGGAATGAGGGGTACAACTTGTGATTTGTTAAGTGAGGAGTCCTTGGAACGTGCAGATGGAAGTGTACAACAGTCAGTAGATACAGGTCAGGAGCTCAGGAGATCGTTCATGCCAAAGAGAGAGACTAGGGGGAGTAGGAGGATGGATGAGGAGGAGTCACAGACCTGGTTCAGAGCACTGTGTCAGGGTGGAGAGTGCGAGGCGGTGACCCCCATGGCTGAAACCCCAAAAGCACCAATGTGTGCAGAGTGGGTGGAGGAAGAGGAGCCAGTAGAGGGCGTGAGGAAGGGCTGGCCTGAGAGGTAGGAGGGGGAAATCTAGAGAGAGGACCCTTAGAAGCTAGGGAAACCATGTGTTGAACAATATAACAAAGGGACTGGTTGCTAGTTCAAACTCGTCTTTATGACAACTCAAGGCCGCTTACAAGAGGACTGGCTTGACTATGAGGAGCAGCCGGGCTCAGGGTTTGGTGTAGGATGAGAGGACGTTGGTAGCCTCGCTGAGGCCCTGGAATAGT